GACTTTTTCATTTAGGTTCTAATATTCATCGGGGCTACACACTCACAGATATAATATTCACAAGTAAAGAGGCTTACTAGGGACGTTCATAGGTGAGCACAAGTCAGAATCAGCAAATAGTAAGAGCAGTCCTTAGTCCACAGAAACACCTCTTTCCAGCCAACCACCAAATCTCTCTGTGGTTTGCAGCCTCTCAGGCATGTGGTCTCTTGGCTGCTGCCTCTGTGAGCCAGGAAGCCAGCCTGCCTGATGCTCAGTCTCACGGTCCCATAGTCTTTGGCTCAGGCCAAATAAGGAGAAATTACCTCATAGTCCCAGCACTGCTCTGCAGAGCCTCTGTGACACAGTCTCTGGCATATCTCTGATCTTGGTGGCCTCTGCCACTTGAGACATAAACATCTTGGACGTGCTCTTCCAATGGTCCTGGGATCTCCTCTCTGTGTCCCAGATGGCTCTTAAATTCACTGCTATTGAGTCGATGCCAATGAGAACTGCCCTTATCAGTTTTTAGGGCTCTCTAGAGAAACAAAACCAGAACGCTAATAATTCTATATATATTTATACAGATAGATAGATAACATAAGAAATAAACAGTTAATTAAATTATAAAGCAGTACAAATGGCTCAGTGCAACTCACTTCTGTGAGACTGTTGTGAGACACTGGCAGTCCTTCAAGTCTTGAGGGCTGCCGGCTAGTCCTCTGTAGAGCAATTCAGGCTATCTGGGCACAGGCTGCAAACAGCAAGGCAGGTCACCAACAGTCAGCCAGATGACAGGGTCCGACAGTCCCCAGCTCAAGAGATGTAAATTCCAATAGTGTGGCGAAGCAGGTCTTGAAGGAACATCAAATTACAGCAACACAGTCCATGGGTTAGGTGTCCCACAGGTAGTGTAGCTTGCAAATTGAGGCACAGAACAAGCAAGGCAGCAGCACACTGGTCTGATGATCAAAGAGCAAGAGACAAGAGAGGCAAGGCTCGCCGAGCCATTTATCTCTCCGCCCTTCAATTAATCCCACATGTGTTCATTGGCCATGTTGGCACAATAAACGTTAACTATCTCACAAACTGTAACCTTTATGGGAGTAGAAAGCCTTCTTGTCCTGTCTCACAAGTGGAGGGGGGGTGTTTCGAACCATTGACCTTGTTGTTAGCCCAACTCATACCCCCTAAACCACCAGAGGTCCTGGATGACAGTTAGAGACTGAGGAATGGCTTTGATGGAGGTGTGGCTTTTGCCTTTTAGCCAAGCATACCCCCAACGAAAACAGAAGGTGAGGTAGCTGCCTTAGCCAGTTCTCTGCTTCAGCTGGCAAATCTCACTTCCTACCCCCATGCAGTCCCGGCTGCTGGAGCAGCTGTGTGGAGACCCCTGCCTGCACTGAGATGCTTATCGTTCACTGATTCGGCTTTCCTCCTACAGTCGGTGTCATAGTGTGTGTTTTGTGAGATGGAGGAGGACTTTGTGGATTGGTGTCGGACATATGGGCTAATGCTGGACTTATGGGTTTGGGCAGCACTGGGTTAGGATGTTTTCTTGATGTGCACTTACCCTTTATATAGAACTCTCTCTTGTACATGAGTTTCTGTGGATTTGTTTCTCTAAAGTCCCCAGAGTGACACAGAAGGATGGGATCTTAAGCCACGCTCTCTTGTTGTCTTCAAATTGCTCCCACATTTTTGATAGTGTCAACGTTCTTTTTCATTGATGTTTTTTCTGTTTTACTTTGTTGTAATTACTTTTTAATTAATCATTTTATTGGGGGCTCTTACAAATCTTAAAACAATCCATCATTCAATTGTATTAAGCACACTTGTACATATGTTGCTATCAACATTTCGAAAATAATTTCTTTCTACTTGAGCCCTTGATATCAGCTCCTCTTTTTTTCCCCTCCCTCCCTCATCCTCCAACCCTCGTGAATCCCTGATCAATTATATATTATTGTTGTTATATTGTCTTACTTTGTTATTGTTGTCGGATTTTTTGGTATATTTTTCTTTTTAATGTAAATATTTTTTATTTAATCATTTTATTGGGGGCTCGTACAACTCTTATCACAATCTGGACATCCATCCATTGTGTCAAGCACATTTGGACATTTGTTGCCCTCATCAGCCTCAAAACATTTGCTTTCTGCTTGAGCCCTTGGTTTCAGCTCCTCATTTCCCCCCTCCCTCCCTTTTCTCCCCTCCCTCATGAACCCTTGATAATTTATCAATTATTATTATTTTGTCATTGGTATATTTTTCATATGAAATCCGGGATAGGTAAGCCTATGAAGACAGTAAATGGATTCATGGTTTCTTGATGATATGGCAGAGAAGGTTAGGAAGAAATGGTGAGAAAATAACAGTGCAAGAAAGAAGAAAATGTTCTAAAGCTGATAGTGGTGATGACTGTACAACTCTTCTTGATATGATTGCACTATTAAATTGTATGATATGTGAATTACATGACGACATAACTGTTAAAAAAAGTATTACGTTTTTTTTGTTTATTTTGTAAGAGTTATTTGGTAAAGGCATGAGGAAAGGGAAGAGAGATAGATAGGGAGAGGAAGGAGGAGAGAAAGATAGAAAGAGTTTTCTTCTGTCAAGAGTTGAGTCTCGACAACTCGCAGGGGCAGTTAGTTCTACCCTGTACTATAGGGTTACTATGAGTTGGCATCCACTTGGTGGTAATGAGCTTTAATTCTGTAAGATAACTCTCTCCAAAAGAGGACCAGTCACAAGCACAGAGTCCAGAATTATAATACACCACATAAGGAGTTACTCTAGAAGGACCATATTAATTGACTGCATACATAACACTAGACTATAATCTTTATGGGAGTATGCTTCCAGGTCTTTTCTCCCTTAAAGGAGCCCAGATGGCATGATGGGCAATTGCCATGCTGTGAGAAGAAGATGAGGCTTTCAACTCCCATAATGAGTTAGTCTCAGAAACCCACGAGGGTAGTTCTACTGTATCACATGGGTCACTGGGAGTTGGAATGGACTCCATGGCCATTGACTTTGGTTTTTCTCTTTTGGAGCAGCCACAGGCCTTTCCGTTGCTATCTGAATGATTAACAAGTGTGCCACCACACCAACCCACTGCTATCAAGTCAATCCCAACTGACTGACTGTGTAAGGCCGAATAGAATTGCCCCATTGAGTTTCCAAGACTGCCGATCTTTACAGTGTACACAGCCTCATCTTCTTTCTCAGGAGCAGCTGGTGGGTTTAAACTGCTGACCTTGTGATAGAGGCCCAACGTTTTTCCCACTTTGCTGCCAGCGTGCCTTAAAATGGTGAGACTGCACTGATGCCAGTTTGGGGTGCTAAGCACAAGGTGAGCAGTTCAAAATCATCATTGAGAGAGATGCTATTTTCTACTCTCGTAAAGATTTACTATCTTGGAATCCCACAGGGGCAGTTCGACTCTGTCCTAGGAATCAGGGCCTCCGAATCAAGAAGGACTCGGTGGCAGTGCATGTGGTTTGGGGCCCAGGGCCCAGGATTGGGGATTAGAGCTCAGTTTTAAGACGAGAATATTTGGTAGAAGGAACAATACTTTATGAGGGAAACAAAAAAGGATTGAAGAAGATTGTGCAGTTTCAAGGCCCGGGAACCGAGATTCTCTTAATGCCACTTACAAAGAAGTATGTATGGCGCAGAAAAATGTGGGCTTTGAACATGCTGTTGACATGCCAAAATTGATGTGACATATCCTATTTCCTGATTGTCCCTGGGACGTTCCTAGAGATATTACCATGACTAACATCATAATGTAAGCGCCTCTTTGGGATAAAGTGCCACAAATACCATTTATGTATGATACATTATGCTCTTCTGATTAGTAACTGGGTAGTTGATCTGAAAGACTGGTGTACTTCAAAGACAATATTATGTCCTTTCATAAGACTTTCCAAGGCTTTATCTTTATGGAAGCTGAATGCTTCCTTCTTCTACTCTGGTGGATTTGAAAGGGAAGCATCCATTCAGCAACCTAAACTGTATGGAGGTTGTGAATATCTCAGGTGGGCTTCCCAGGGCATGTTCAAGAGCTGTTAAAGATCCCAGGTTCTGAAAGCAGTCAGCAGATTAGAACACAGTTTCATCACCAACTTGGCCACCTTGGGCAAATTACTCAGTGTCTGTGACTCAAATTCTTCACTGGTTGAACAGGCCCGCCTCATTCATTCCATAGCTATGACTGAAGATACCTGGGTGCCAAGCACAGGTAGAGACACCGGGATTACAGTTGTGCGGGCCACTCTGGTGAGCTAATACTATTCTAATGTAGGGAGGTCAACAAGAAACAAGTTAGTATCAAAATGAAAACCAAGTAGTGAAAGAATTAAATGCCATAACTCCTGGAAGCACTTAGTAGGGAGGCGGTAAGCCAAAAGGCCCCTTTAACCTAGTTGCTCAGTTAATATTAATAGGGGACCGTGGTCATTACGGAATCATAATGATCCTATAGGGCAGAGTAGAACTGTGTGGGTTTCTGGGACTGTAATTCTTTATGGGAGTAGAAAGGCTCATCTTCCTCCCACCGAGTGCTGATGGTTTTGAACTACTGGCATTGCAGTTAGCGATACAATGTAACCACTATGCAACCAGGGTGGGCTCGAACAAATTCAGTTCTTTCGGCCTTGCGCCCAGCCAGGCAATAAGAGAGTTACACCCGCCTCCGCCCACGGAGGGAGCCTAGCATCCCAGGCTCAGATAACAAAGGCGCCAGCACGAGGGTGGGGCCACACGCGCCTGTGATGGGGGAGGGTGAGAAGCAGCCAGACTGGACACCAGCGGCTCGCGGGCATCACGTGACACGCCCACCCCGCGAACGTGCCCGGGATGGGCGGGGCTTTGAGAAGGGGCGGGGGAGCGGATAGAGAAGGCGGCTTGGCGGCGACAGGAAGTGACGAAGGGGCGTAGCTCTCTACGTGCAGCGACGTGGCGGCGGGGCCGGCGCCGGTCGGCGGAAGTGGTTCCCGTGCTGGGACTTGGGTGTTTGTGTTTTGGTTTGTGAAGAAGCCGGCGGCCGGCCTAAGGGGAGGAGGCAGAGGAGGGCGGAGGAGGAGGAAGAAGTAGTCGGAACCCGACCGCCGGCGGCGACTGAGGAGGAGAAAGGAAAGAAGAAGGCGGAGCGGGGAGAGGCGGAGACGGAGCCCGACGGGGGCGGCACCAGCGGCGAGAGCCCCGCACTGTCCAGTCTGAGAGGAGCGGCGGGAGGAGGCGACGCTGCCACCTAAGCCACTGTCTCGACCTCGGTTTCATCCTTCGGGCCGCGCTAAGGATCTGCTGCTTGCAAGCGCCGGCCCCGCGACCCCAGTGCTGCACTCTCAGGTAACCAGAGTCTCAGACCCCTTCCCTGTCAGCGCGACTCGGACCCCGGCTTGGCTCCCAGTCGGCCTGCACCCCTGCTGGCCGTGGGCCCCCACCCTTGGCCGGCTAGCGTGCCGGGGCTGTGGCCCAAAGACGGGGGAACCTGGCGTCTGCTCCGGCCGGCCCCGGTGACTCTTCCAAGGGGACCAGGATTTGGGGACTGGCGGAGGGAGCGACGGGTGTCACCCTTTCCCTTCTCAAGATGGCGACGTGGAAAGAGTACTGGAGGCCGCGGCTCCGCCTGGCGGCTGGCCCGGGGGTCCGGGTCAGAGGCGGGCAGGGCTGTCGGGTGGGGACGATCGCCGAGGGTCCTGGCAGGCCCTGTGTGTCCCGCGATCTGGACTTGGGTAGCAACTACTGATGTGCTCCACCGGCGGGACCCGGGCCTACGGCAGGTGTGATTGTGGGCGAGCTCCGCCCACCTTCTACTGCCACCGACGAGTCACGTTAGGGCTGCGGTGGGGAAGCTCCACCAAACGGGCTGTCTGGAGACTCCCGTCTCGCCTGGAGCGTGTGGCGAACCGCAGTTTCAGAGCCACCCAAGATCACCTGAACGCCGACTGCCTTCCTTCCGTGAATAGAGACCACGAAGCCTACCCCCGTGTTTTGTTCCCTGGACGCTGGTTACTTACCTCTCTGGGACGTTTAGACTTTACTTAGAAGCTCTGAACATCGAAATGCATCTCTCTGGCGCTTGTGTTTTATTAAGTGGAACCTGAGTGTTGAGTTAGCTGCTTAACAGGATCCCCAGGACGGGGCAGAGGCTTTTCTGCGGAATGTAAAATGGGGGTCATATAGACCTCCCAGGGTTGTGAGCAAAGTACATAAAACGGTCCCTTACAAAAAACTGATGCCCATTCGGTGTTAGCTGTTAGTCGTAGAACTTTTTAATCAAAGAGCCCCTGAAAGGACTTTCAGTCCTGAAATGCTAGGTATTTTCAAGTGATTCAAGTGCCTATTAATACAAAAAGCCTTGTTTCCCTATACAGGCAAAAGTTTGAACAGTAGTGAACCCAAATGAATGCACACGAAGTAATTTTTTATCTTAATGTTATGTCAAGTGCGTATTTATAATTGAATATATTTTGCTGTTGCCTATTTGCGACCCTCGGGCTAACCATAATCCAGCAACTTTAACCCTTTGAAAGCAGAGCTAAATCAGAGTCTCCTAAGACTAGTGTTTTCCCTGGGTTTGGGGAAATCATGTAGAAATTCTCAGCATGCTGTCCTTGGAAACTAATTTGTTTGCTCCTCAATGGGTAACAGAAAAACAATTGAGGCCTGTTTCCCTTGCTGTTATCTGTAATATTACTTAAAGGTCTTAATGCCTTTACAGTCCATGTGATGTTGCTGGTATTTAATCACGGCATCAAATGGCCACTGAAATTGCCAATTTTCAATCCCTACTGTATATTGTCTCATTTAATTTTCATTTATGCATAAGTTTTTCAGAAACAGTAATTCGGAAATGAAAGAACTTACCTAGTCCTGAATTAATGTAACCAGAATTGGCCCTCAGTCTTTGTATTTCTCAAAGTGGTTTTTTTGGTTTGTTTCTTACTATGGAAAACTTTAAACATAATACAACAATAAGGAGAATACTATAATGAACCCATTACCAGCCTCAGCTGTCTCATAGCCATCTTAGTATATTGATACCCTCATTTGGAAGCAACTTTCAGACATCCTGTCATTAAATTTGTAAATATTTCACTATGTATTAAAGGTAAGAGCTCTTTAAAGTTGTCCTTCTTGGATATGTTAATGATCTTATCATCCAGAATGTTTCATGTATCAATTCAATTTTACATAAAGTTAACTTTCCTATATGGGGTGGCTAAATAAAACAGAACTGGGTTTTTAGGGAGGGGATCATCTTCAAAAAAGTCTCATGAAAGTATTATTGTTAGTTTTTTATTAGATTGAAAACTAACATTATTAGATAATGATAAGAGAAGACATAGAAACTTGCCACCTAGGGAATTTTTTTAATGAGTTGATAAGTAGGAAGTATTAGTAAAAGGAAGGGCTTCAAAAAATCATGGAAACATTTCCTTTTAAGTCCATTTTCCCACAAACTTTTTGAAGCCCCTCTCATTTTAATGACACTTTCGGGAAGTGTCAGCAAATAACTAACTGATAATCCTATGACAAAGAGAACCACTGTTAATATGTTTGTATGATGTTCTTGGGTAGATGAAGATACAAGTTTTAAGGCTTTTAACCATTAGACACAAAAGTGTCAGACCTTAAAATGTGTAGTTCAAAATTCAATGTTAATAAAAATACGTAGTTTTGAAGTGCCATGTACTGTTCTAGATTTCCATTTATTAGCTTGTTTGTTCTCAAAACTTTTTTTTTTTTT